ACGGCACATAGATGTTTTGTTATTGATTCTAGAAGGTTTATTTAATAAGTGACTAGGTTTCCAAAGTGAAATAGAACAGATAAATTAAGTGTGGCAGAGTCATGTTTGGCACGAATGCGTCGGCTCGACTGGAGTAATACCACTGCCTCACAGAAAACCGGGGTGAAGAATCAGTGTTGTTTTTCACCGTGTGAGTGACCGCAAGCTCAATCCTTTCCCTCCCACAGTCTCTCCCCAATCCCTAAATCCCCAAAACCCTAATCCGCAAAAAGTCGGCAACGCACTCGTAACTCATCGGCTGTTTTTTTATATTGCTTACCATCAGGCGTCTGCTCGTTTGCCGTCATATCAAATAAAAAAATATTAGAGATGGAACAATCACAAGAATTAACTACAAAAGCTAATGTCTTAACGGGTAATGTGCAAAACGAGTAAGATTTGGTGAATGCACGTGGTTGTTAAAAGAAAGGGCTTGAGACTAAGACGACGTTTTCTCGAAATGAGTCATCCTGTGACGAGATGAAAAAATACTATTCATAATTAACTTATTAAGTCAAAAGTAGGCTTTAAGTAATAAAAGAACCTCTGTAACAGGAACTAATTGATCTCCGGTTGTGTCTAACCGCGAAAGACAATTGAAGGTTCAAATGGAACAAAAGAAGCCGCGGTATTTCGAAACGAAGTTCCAAAATTAATCTAATTAACGGAAGCATTGGCTATGGGGTATTGCCACAAAATTACCAAAGATTAGTAATCAATTGAACGGTATGTTTCAACATCTGGTTAGCCATAATTTGGTTCGAACTGGAACGTTCCATTGTAGTGGGAAAATTAATAATGAAATCATAATAAAGTTTACATAACACGAACTAACATCTGTAGTATTTAGGCGTGAATGAAACTGTATAAAAAGAACATGGAAACTGTAAACATTGATGAAATAGACGATGAGAAATCAAAATTGGCGTTCGATTAGTTTAAGATAAAACAAAGAGCTATCTAGAGAATCTATGGCGATTTGAAGCCACTATCTCAAAATGGTGGCAACGGCAAATAATCTATTTAGGACAAAAATGGAAACAAAGAAACTGCACTGCAATCAGATTTTGCGTCGCAATGTGAAGAGAAAATATTAATAAAGAGGTCTTAAATAGTTTTTTTTTCTTAGGAAACTGTTTACTCATTCAATAAACGTAGACGGCTGGTGTTTAAGAAGCTAACAATTATAAGAGGATATATTGTGACATTCTTTGTTTTTAATTCCTTATCCTCTTCTGTTAAAGAGACTTCAGGTATATGATGACGACGAATCGCGGAATCCAAACTACTAAGTACTACAAGTTTGGATTTTCACAGTTCTGTGAATATTAATATACAAACACGTACTTTCTTCCTTTCTTTCCCTGCTTACTAGGAAAAACAGTAATGGTATGAAGTTGCATATTCTTTCCAAGGTGATCGTCCATTGTATTCCTTAAAACGAGCATAAATGAGTGCTTTAATGTTCAATGCGTCTTTATTGTACTGGTCAGTATCGTTCTTTGAATTATCACGCGTGGCATGCTAATGGATTATGTATATTAGTATCTATTTCATTTAGTATTAGCCATAGGACCGCGATATGTACTGCAAAAGGTGTGATTAACAAACCTTCTGAGACCAAATTTGGTTTGGCTTTGCAAGTCATTTTTCATCATATTGAAAATTGCCAGGTTGCCGTCGTTTGGGGGGTTCGTTGAGAATACTTACAGTATCAGCTCTGCTTTGAGGGTAACGTTTTTTTTTTTTTCATTTCTATGTTTTGAAATATATTCAGTGACTTCTCTCTCCTTACTGACTAAAAACCAACCCATTTCTTCAACCCGCTCCAAAACGGCCCGCGCTACATCATTACTTGCGACCGCTAAGCGCCGCGCCGCCGGGAATTAGCATTTTGTTTTTTCGATTTTGTAAAGCTTTAGGTTCTATATATACTTTAAGGACTGGACAAATTATGTGCCTTAATACTAAGAATTTATGATCTATACCACAAATCAATTTGCCACCTTAGACAATTGGTAAGGGTATGGGCATCAAGACTGACACAATGGAATATTTATTAAAGTAAATATTATATAGTACAAAGCATTTATGTGACCACTCATTTTATTGATTAAAACTAATTGCATATTTCGAAAATCTTCCTTAAAAGTCACGTATTGTTGATTGCATTACAATCAATCAATAGTAACAGTTACTCATTTACGACTGGTCTGTTTATTGGCTTTGTGACGAATCTATGATGAGTATAGTTACTTTTTTATGGAATAGGTCAGCCAACGAACAGACTTATTACCTGATGGTAAGCATTTGGCGTCGCCCATTGACACCTGCAATACCAGAGGAGCTACGAGTGCATTGCCAACTTTTTTAGACTTAGTGTTTCAGAGATTTAGGAAAGCCTTCTGTTATCTTACTCATACGCAAAACCCAACGTAAGTATTGTTTCACGCCGATATTCTGTGATGCCGTGATATCACCCCGGTCGGATATAAAAATAGCTTGAGTTCCTTTTAGTTTCCCAGTAGTAATGTAGACAGCATAGAATCTGGATGCTACTGCCCCAAATTGTCGCTAAACACGCCTCTTTATCTGACTCTTCAAGAATTAAAAGGCCATCCTACTCAGATAATAAACGCTAAATTTTTTTTGTTACTATTCACGTAAAAACTACTGAACAGATCTGAATGAAATTTGGCACGGAGAAAGATTTCAGTCTGGAATTACACCTAAGCATCATTGTACAGAAACTAGTGTATGTAATGGTATGTATGTATAAATTACAATTCTCCTAACGACTACTTTATCACAATTAGTGTGTAATAATACTTTGTTTTGACGTTCCGGGTTATCAACTGACCTGTACAATGTTATAGATTCATGATACTTACGAATTAATTTAATTAAACTTTGTTCGTATTTTTGTGATGTTTTCGTTTTGTTAATATTACTTGTGTATGTAATATACTGATTTTGTTGGATAAGACTGTTTATTTTATATACTATGTAGTTTTTAGTATTTCACTGGTAATAAGTTTTTAGATAAAGGTTTTGTATTAATGATTTTATTATGTAAAGTAAATTCGAATTTGTTTTGTTTCATGAAATAAGTTGGCAAACGAGTAGATGCATTTTCTTATGGTACGCAAATGCGGTACATTACTTAAGGAGATGAAGGGAAGACTTCTGTAATCTTACACATGCGGCGAATGCATGCTTCCCTTAAATAGTGTGAGTGAGCCATGCTTCAGCACAAATGACCCAACTCGACCGGAGTGATAACACGGCCTCATAGAATAGTGTGTAAAATGTTGTAAGTGTCGTTTGCTTACCATCAGCACTTACATCGCCAAATGTTTGGCACCAAATCTCTTAAAAAGAGGATCCTGAAGTAGGTCCAAAGAGATTACGGTAAATCCATCTAAAGAGGATGACCTTCGTTTATCGATGACCGTGTTTCGGCTGATGATTATGATGGTGACTGTTCCTAGTACTTAGGTACTTAGTTCTTAGTAAGATCTAGACTTCAATCTAAACAGCAAAAAGGACGTGAACAACGGTCTATTGTAAACATTTTTTCGCTAGCAAAATTAACTGCTTCCTTTTCGTGATTACAATGAATTCAGTTTATAGGTCAATTATTAATAAAATAAAAACTTTATTTTTCTATTGACGCGGAATTAAGGATTATTTTTTTCTTTTTGGACGAGTCCAAATATTGTCGTCATTTTTTTTTAATTGCCTTAAAATCCAAGTTGGTATCAATTAAAAAGGTTTTATTCTGTAAATTAGAAATAAATACCCATTATTTTTTAGACCGACAAGATACAAAACCTAAACTGCTAAAAAATGGGTCAATCATTTCAATCGGTGAAATTACAACAAAATACTGAATGACTTTAGTCAATACAAAAAATGGACTATTTACGATAAAAAAGCGAGCAAATAAACGCTTCCTTATCTATCAATGACCGTCTGGAATGAACTATACTTAATTTGTTTATTCAAAGATTTTTAACAAGAAATCTAGACAACAGTATTAGAGCTACACCTAAGTATTATTCCAGGCGGTTAAATGTTTAGGTACAGACGAAGGTTTTCTTGTATGGCATAGGGAGCAAACGAGGAGACGGATTACCTGATGGTAAGCAATCGGGCCTCTTGTAACGTAACTTACACGACGATAGCGTTGTTACACTCAATTTTCAGTGAAGACGTGGAATCACTCCATTCGAGACGAGAGCAGAATGTCTACCACACAGGTAGAAATCCCATTGAGAAATAACATGCATACATGCATAGGTATTGTATTCAGCTATCGGCTAGCAGATACACACAATAAGATTACCAGGCACATAACAGAGAATGTGTAGAAATTGTATGACAGGGTTGTACAGCCTAGTCTAGTCATCGCAGATCTAGGTTACAGATGACAGAAGATTGTGTATGGTTTATGGAACATGCTAACCCTAGCCCCGCAAAAAAATTTACTTATTACATACATTGCTTTGAAAAATCTCGAAAACGATTTATGACCTCTGCCCCGGCGTGGAGAAGGAACGGGTTAGTATCTGTTTAGTCAACAAGAGTCTGACACTTTCTCTTGCGCCAACATCATCATCTTCATCGGTCTACGATTTCGTCTACTGCTGGACATAGGCCTCCCCGATTCTCTCTCTCCACACAGGGTGAATGAGAGTGTCAATTAAAGTTTTTTTTATGGAATAGATCGGCAAACGATCAGACGGATTACCTGATGGTAAGTAATCAGTGCCGCCCATGGACACCCGCAACAGAGTAATTACGAGTGCGTTGCCGACCTTTTAGGTATTAGGGTTTTAGAGATTTAGGGATTGGGAGAGATCGGGGGAGGGGAAGGATTGTAGATAATTTACACCACTCAAATAATGGGATTAATCTAGTGCATGATATCTTAATCTAATGAGAAAAATGGGACTTACTTCCTTATCCTCAATGAGCGTCGCGACTCGGCCAGGCTGCAAAAAAGAAATTAGAAACTGTTAAGTCATTGTTTACGAAATATTTCTCTTGATAACACGTTAACTTTATTGTCTATCATCAAAATAACAATTCGAATAACATGTTTTTAATATTTCATTGTTTGTTTTTATAATTTTAAAAACAATGTCTTGCTTATTTAATTTTTACCCCTGCGTTCGTTGATATAAGCATCTATTTTGATATTAATCTGAGACAGATAATATTATTATTTCTAGATATTATGGACAATATTATGAAAAGCAGAACAAGTTTATATTTATTTACATTTTAAATAAACACATGTCACGTGTATGTTTTCTACTTTAGGTTATTTGAGATATTCCGCAGCAAATATCAAGTGCAAAACTTATAATTAAGGTTGGTGTAGGTACATTAATCTAATTACATTATTTTTTGTTACAGTGTTTGTGTAGTTGGTGTGAATTAATCTAATTGTATTACCTAGCTATTTCTTCAGCTAGAAAATTAGCATTGCCATACCTAAAGGTAATGTTGGTATTCTTTTTAGGAATGGAATACTTTGACTTCTAAACCTATATTAATTTCTCATGTCTCCCTTATTTTAAAAAAGAAAAATTACTTACTAGCTTTGTTAAGACACAAATATTTTTATGCTTCCAAGTAACGTAATATATAGGCATTAATTTCAGAATGAGTAGAAAACAAAAACAATACACAAGAGAATACTTTCAGTACACCACATACCATCGGCAGTGCGCTATCGTGGGAGTGTATTTTGACGCAAAAATTTTTAAAAATAGGTGAGCGTGATATCCGCGTGATCGCATATTACGCAGTTAATCTAACGTAAATATACTATCATGGTTCGTTGACGTGCTAAATAATTCAGGCGACGTGTTCTACCGACTACCTATTCTTTCATAATTATTATCTATTTGCAAATTATTTAGGTACATCTGTCCTTGATTTTAGATGAAATTATAATTTTCAGGTATTTGTTACGACAAGTCTAAAGAACCGTCTCTTGTTTCTTGTTTATTAGACACATGTTTTGTAGCGGAATTTAAATATATACATATATATCTGCAACTGAGTTATTAGGCCATATAAGCGGTGTAGGTACATAATATCCATTGTTGCTTGTTGAATAAATAGGTAGGACAGAAAGAAAGATTATCCCAAAAGTGAATGTTTGGTTAGATATCCAGGCTTAAAAAAAATGCAAATACATCATTTCTTTAACACAAAAATTACACTAACTAGGTACTGGTATTCCCTAGCCCAATTGAATAAGCTTTATGGCTTTCTCGTATCGTATAGCTGTTCAACGTGGTTACTCGACAAGTTTCAAGCCATGTAAGGGCCCGTAGATGAAAGTAACAAACATGAAGCGATCTGAATCATCAACTAGAGTCACAGATAAAATAAGGTGAAGCATTAATTCTTCATGAAACTGGAATACAGTTAGTAGTTACCGTCATACGATGAGTTTAAAAGGTCATCAATAATTACTACAGTCGAAGATAACACAATGATAACGGAATTCGTACAAACAAAACGTTTTAGCATTAATTCATTATTGTACGCTTTCAGTAGAGTTATCAAAATAGGTATTGTTAGAGACCATCATACTAAAATTATCGAAAGTTCTGGATAAAATATAGAACGTAGCTATCTTGGTAGGTATATCTTCATATAGAATGACAGACGAATTTGTGTACATAACACGCTAATCAAACAAACTGCGATTGCTAAGCTAAGCCTTTCGGCTAGCGAGGGTATAATTTTAAACTTCCACTGAGGAGGCTTTTGTTCGATGTACCTTCTTAAGAAGAATAAAAATAATGTCCAACCAGTAGAAAATCCTGAAGGTTTTTTAATTATAATTAAGTCATTGACGGTATGGATGATAGAAATACTTCAGTTTAATTCGTCAAATCCCAAGCGAACGCCGGCGTTCGAGCAACCGATTGTTCTTCTATTGTGTCTCGAATTACCACGATTGAAAAGCTTAAAGTGCCTGCAAGGGTCTAATTGTAATTAAGGATTTTGACTTTGATTTTAAAAGCACATTGATCAACTTCCATTTGGATGAAGTTACGCACTATCAGCGGCACTTCGAAGATTGTACGATATCAAAATTGTGTGGCTCGCATAACATTGACAGTGTTACTCAAATGACGGCTTTTGGAAAATCCAAATCTGCAGTCTATTTTACAAGAAATCCACTTGGACTTGCATCGTTAATGGTATAGACATTATTATACTACCTATAAGTATTACAATGGCTACCTTCAGTTTTTGAGTGGTTCAAAACAAACATCTTAATCTGTAGGTTCCTACTTAATCTCTTTAATCAGACTACTTACAAAGATAACTATTTTTACGCGCCCTTCTCCGCGATTCATTGGGCGCGCAGACTCGAGTAGCCAGTAGCAGCGCGACAGTCGCCGTGTCGCGGAATGCTGCTCATGAATATGGGCCTCTAGCGTGGCTTGAAACTAGTCGAGTATCTCGTCAAATTATTACGTGAGTAAGCCGAAAACATAATAAATAATTTAGAATATCTCACGAAAGTTATAATAAAAGATACATTTATGGTAATAATCCTATGTTTATTCTTATGCATTTGATAAGTTGTTTTAAAGTTCGTTTATCTCTAGTGTTGTTTGTCTTATCTTGGTTTGTAGACTGTCTGTCTGCTAGTCATTGTAGACTTTGGATGTTAACCATATCTACCTATTTATAAAACTTATTCAACTTACATTGAATAGATTATTTTGAGCATAGAATACTTCTCTTACTCAAGTCAATCAATGTATGGATGTATGTTTGTTATTCTTTCACTTAAAAACGGCTGAAACGATTTGATTAGTGGACAGGTGACACCCTGAATTAACACAGGCTGCTTCATATTAATATAACCCACGGGCGCAAGCTAGTACCTATCCTATAATTTTCGACCGATGTAAATTGTTGGTAAGAGTATAGGACTACACCACATAAATAGGACTTAGGCGTTTACGCCCGTCGTTTTTTCACACATACTTTCAAGTTAATGGAGTCTACTGTACCGACTTCATTGAAACTCATACGCATTATAACAATATTTAAAAACTTAAATAAGTAAGGAAGTGTACACTTTTCGCGATTTTATATTTGTAGTATGTAACCATAAAATTGCCTCTTCCTGTCTCTTTAAAATCTTTTAGTTTCTATGTCCATGGAGTTGAAAGTTTGTGGAGAAACCCGCTTGGCCAACTCTTAACCACTTCTAACTACTTATAATATTTTCTTTACGAAAATATCTTAGGCACATTTCACTAAAGCAATGAGCCTACCATTTTTTATTCGTTATCGATTTAATTGGTAGGAGAACTAGAGAGAGAGAGCACTTTAAAAAACTTTTCGTGTGCTTGATACCCCTCCTTGGTTCGTCCTGCCCGGTCGATGCAACTGTTCGAAGGGCGACTTATTTTCAGGTTTACGAGCCATTGACTCGAAAAGCCTCTGTCGCAGTCGCCATAATACATTGGTTTGTCTAGTTTTTTTCTTTACTCGTATTATATTCTAGAAGATTCAAGAAGGTGTTTATAGAAGCGTAGTTATTGAAAAATGATTTTAAGTAAGTAAATATTTGGTGATATTAAACACTGTTTCGTAGATTGTAACGAAAATATTTTGATGATAATTAGATGGATCTTGAAAACAACAATATTGTTAAATTAATGCGTTTAAAAATCATTCTGTTGTTACGGCCTAGTTAAATAAAAAATGATGTAAACAAAAACATTTACTTAATCAATCATTGGTGACGAAACGAGGCTGGATATTGTCTTTTTTTACTTTTTTAAGATAATAAGAATATTTACGTCTTTTTTTTTCAAATCAGCCATACTTTTATTACGTACCAATCGACCTACATGCGCATATTAAAGGAAGCCAGCAAAAATAATCACGTCACTTGTTCTTTCACCAGTTTACTTAAGTACTGACAATTCAAACAATCGAACAAACAAAACAAAATTTGCTTTAATGTTCCTTGTTCTTGAGAACGGAAAAACCGAGGGTAACAATGCACCCCACATTCCTTGCTAAAGTAAACTCGACCTTGAGTGACGCGTTGAGGATGCAACAGAAACAACTGAACTACTGTAACGTCATTTAAGTAGAATTTACTGTGACGTCACGTATTTGTTAAAAGAGGATAATTAAAGTCAGCTGAGTATCATGTGATCAATATGAGCTTTAATAGGTATATGTGACGTCAGAGGAAAGTACCATGGTGATGGTGGTCACGCTTAAGTTTGCAAAATAAAACAGTCCTTATTGTTAATGGACAAAGATCGAAATTAAATTACAGTTCTAAGTTTTAGTTTTAGAGAGAGACATGTTTATACATATACTAGCTATACCACCCAGTTTCACCCGCTGCTCGGCTTCTACATATCGTAGCGTAATGTTTTATAGCCTATAGCCTTCCTCAATAAATGGACTCGCAAACACAAAAAGAATTGTAGAATAGTGCACTATTCTTTTCCTATTCGAACCAGTAGTTCCGGAGATTAGCGCGTTCGAACAAACTGTGTAGATTGTGAAAAAAGTGTAGATTGGGAAATACATATGTACCTACTAAAATAAACAGTAACGTCTTTGATCAAATAAAATAAATAACTTTTTTTTCATCAAATAGCTGTGTTTCCTTCAGTATAGAACAATCTGGTTTATTTCTGTCAAAAAGTAATCTTGACCTCGTCTATATGATAACAATGTCGTGCGATCTGTCGACGCATCTTGTGTGAAAGTGCATTAACCTTGAGTCTTTGTAAGTTCGACGTGTGTCATTAATTTCGTGAAGGAAGGTTGTTCATCAGGGCATTTCAGTTCCATGCAGGCTTTTAATGTTTCATCCATTAGACCTCCTTTAATAGCTGTATCATTTGAATATCATTACAAATAGCGAAATCATTATAATTATCACTGTCAAAAAGCGGTTATTCAACTCTTCAATCGATAATTAGGTTTTTTTAAGAATCATCAAAACCGGTAAAGGCTTAGTACCTACCTAGGCAATTAAGGTTATTTTTGCGCATTTTTGTGTATCTCTCGAATGCTGCAAAATTTCCCACTTGAGAGGCATATAAAGATGATGTAATGCAGACATAATTACAGACCAGTAAACACACCCATCCGTGTTCCGGGAATCCGTCATAAATGTGAAATATGGAAGGCGAAAAACGAAACCAGTACTACGTTGACTTGACATACTTTTTGCAATTTTTACTTACGGCAAACAAGTGGAATCGCGAATGAATTTCGATTAGCAAGTCGTTACATTTGAGGGCATTTTCTAATCCTGATTTAGGCAATTTGCATGCCCTTTGCGTTGCTTGTGCTAAAAGTGGCAAAAGTTGGTTAATTTAGCTTTCTAGTTGGTTAAAAACGATTCTGGAGATCACGTAGGCAATGTTTCGCGAGCTAATAAGTGCGTTTGAGTTAAACGACTAATTTTATTTCCAGTAGGACTAATAGTGGACATAGTATTTTTAATTGTTGGATTTTTTAAGTAAGTTAGTCGTCCGTCGTTTGTAAGTCGGTTCAAGTAGTAAGTATTTAAGTAGTTATTGTTGTAGTTTTCGGGCCTAAAAGATTGTATGAAAACTTAACATGAATCAAGTAATAGACTGCACGGTTGGCGCAATGGCTGGGCAATTGGCTGCTATGCAACGTGTCACAGGTTCAATTCAAGAACGAAACAACATTATGTGTGATCCACAAATTGTGGATTTCGGGTGTGGATTACGTTTTTATTAAAACAAAGAAAATCATTAGGAGGGATACAGAAGTATTAGAGCAAAAACATTATTAATCATTTATTTTTGTTTTCTTTAAAAATAATTGAATCGCTAAGAAGCTTATGATTAAAATTAACTATAATATTATTAATATAAAATTAGGATAATGATGTTGATGATCTGCAAAACTAACCCACTGACATACAGCCATATCTATAGTATAAGCAATCCATCCAATACCTAATAGCTATTTTATCTTCAACAAGTGCAATCAAATGCATCATCTAAATGCATTTTCCATGTGATAATTTAGTCATAAATCCTATTTTATGTCTAGACCGGATTACAGATAATGTTATTGAACACTATATTCAAGTAGTTTACAATATTTACACTAGACTAGACTAAGCTAGATTAATGTATCTAGGCATTATGATATCAGCTTACTTGTGACTAGCCTGATTATAAAGTTGTATTAATATACACAGATGACTTTCATATTTTAGTAATATTTTCTACCTCCTTTTAAATTAATCTTTTAAACTGATATTATAAATGCGAAAGTAACTCTGTCGGTCTATCTGTCTTTGCTTCACGCCTAAACTACTGAACCGATTTGTGTGAAATTTGGTACTGACATAGTTTGGAACTCAAGAAAGTACAGGATAGCTTTCAAACAAAAATCTGCAGGAAGTCACTGTTACAAACGAACAAAGTTGTTACAAAACAAACAAACACTGTTACAAAAGCTAGTAAGATATGCAATAATACAACCATAGGTGTGCATATTATTATGCCAGTGCTCGCTTAGGATTTCTCTCTTTTCTTAACCAACTACAAAAAGAGCAGTGTCTCAATTTGACCGAAAATGATATACTTCTTTCTTTAATAATGGTTAAAAGTGTTTTCCTTGTTTCATGTAGTTTTCCATATAAGATTTAACATATTTTCTATTGTTTCTCAATCACCGCAGCCAAGTTATAATAGTTTTTCTCTAGTGGATTTGCAGATAGGATTGAATTTTTTTAATAGCAATTAATAGATTGTTTCAAATATGTTTTCATTTTCATATACACTGTTCAAATGTTTATAAAATATTCTTATTGTAGTTTTTTTTTAATGGAATTGGAGGCAAACTAGCAGACGCATCACCTGATGGTAAGCTCAGTCAGCGTCCCCCATGGACATCCACAACACCAGAGGAGTCACAGTATAAACAATACTTGGAAAAATGATTTGTTTTTCTTTAAACCTATGTTTATATATTGTCATTAAGCTGAGCTAAGAAAGTTGTATTAAGGTAGGGAATAAAAAACTTACACCCATAGGTTACTATAGTCTCATTATTTAACCCCATCATTTGCAACTGTTTAACATAAACATTAAATTTAAGAGTGGCAGTTACTTACTGAAATAAACACTAGCTTTTAAATCGCAATTAATTTTGGTACTATTTACTAGTTAAATATTAAAGTTATAGAATTGTCATTTTGTTCATTTTTATGAGAAATAATTTGATTGTCAGTATCAAAAACATTATACATAAAAGAATTCACTTAGTGAGGCAAAATAATAAATTAAATTATTGTAGGTTAATGAACTTTGTTTACAGTCTGAATAAAACAAAATAATTACCATTATATTGGGTATAATCTGTTTTTCTCTTCTTTAAGGTGCTAGTAATTTGTGAATGACTATCGTTTAATTCGAATTTCAATTTTAAAATACAAATTAATTACCAAAAGAATATAAATATCGTTATATTTTCAGGATGACGCAAGGAGGTAGGAGGTCACAATCATAAACTTTTTTGCAAAATTACCTTCGATTCGGTCCCCCGGTGAGTTGTGTTGCCTTGCCAGAATCTTCTTGAGAATCCCTTCACATAGCCGGTGATTGATTGTTGGTATTGAAAACCTGGGTTCCAGCATAGAGAACCGTAACCAAACACCCAGAAAGGTTCTTTCCTCGCTTCCATTCCATTACTCCTATCTTCTGAGTTATCCATAGCGATTTTAAATATTATTTTAAGTTATAATCAAATTTTAAATAAAAAAATTCTCGTACTACACTTCGCGATTTCAAATAAAGAATGGAAAATTAGAAAGCGCAAGACCGAGTCGCGTACTCGTATCACAATTTTTTTAAAACTCCACTTTTATCATTCTACTTGTGTCTCATTGTTAATATTTAGTTTACGCACAAACTAAAATATAATAGCACTAAATATTAAATTTAAAGTATATACGACCACCCATTGCGCTTTTAAATTGCGGACTGTCAAGTGTCAGATGTCATTCTCGTTTTGTACTTTACGATGAAATAGGGCGCGCAATCACGTTTCGTTCAACGCCGACTTAACAACGCGTCAAATGTCAAAATTCTACAGATTGTGTTGAATTTACTCGTATGTTTTAATATTTCATGAAACTAAATATGATGATAATTACTGCTAATATTATTTTTTCTTGATATGAATTACAAATCGTGAATTATTAATTAAAATTGTCAAGCAGTCTGTTCTTAAGTCTGCGTGAATGGAAAAATATAGCAGACATTTGTATTTTTGATGTGGTAACTGGATTTACCCCCGCCCAATCACCTTTCTCCTTGAGGATAACTTGACATTGATTGGTGGTTGCCGTCTGATGCAATTTTTCGAATGCCTTACAACAATATTGCGGATTGCGGTTATTTTCTTTCATTCTACGATTAATAGTTCTGATATTAATTATTTTATTAGTAGTTAAGTAAAAGTTATATTTTATTAGTAGTTAAGTAAATTATATTAATAGTTCTAATCCAAATATGGATTTTGATTGCCTTATTTGTATATCATAAGAATAAAATGCGGGAATTTTAACACTACGTATTAAAGTAATGGCTATGTGAAAAAAAGTAAAATAAAACAGATAACACCTAGGATATGCAAAAAATTTTCAGGATGCCTTGCACCCTTATGCATGAGAAGCGGGCGCCTCATCGTAGGTAATCCGATCCACCACGACTTGATTGTAAATATTATAATATCCAAACAATATGTGAACCTATCAGTATTATTTTTGGTGAGTAGATACCTATTTACTTCAAAAAAACAATATTTTGAACCACCCATTATTATAACTGTCTTGGGAACTAATCAATAGTTATTCCCAAATAAATTAGGCGTTGTGTTTTAGAAAAAGAACAAACTACTTACCTAGTCTTTTAATTTAATAGCTCGCACCCGGCTTTAGTTCTCACGCGCCCGGCCTTAGTCCTCTCGCGCCAGGCCTTAATTCTTTCGCGCTCGGCCTTAATCCTCTCGCACCCGGCCTTTCTGTGAAGGAGTCATGCTCGAAAATAAGGAGATGGAGCCCGTAAGGGAGCTACTCCGCATATCTCAGCCGCCGCAAGTAGGCAACACTCTGGACGTCATCGGTGATCGAGAGATGAACTGCAGCCACCGTAAGCGCAGGTCCGCGGAGTAAGGGTAGCTCGTCGCCCGACGAGAACCAGACCCAAGTGTGCGGCAAGTTGCGTTCCTCGCGCCAAAGAGCCAGTAGACCACCACAGACGGGGGTCGGGAAATTCTATAGGGCTGATGTTCAGGTGGGATTGCAAGCCAAGTGCAATAAGCCACCGCGGCCTCGGCCTCGAGTAGGAGAAGGTAAAGGTTTTATAGTCAGTAAGTGAGTCTGACACTAATGGGCGGGAGAAGTTATTTCATGATTATGCACTCCCAAAAACAAGTGATGGTGGTAAAATATCTATATTACCTGGATGAACTTGACGAATTATCTAATATTTTTTTAGTACCTACCTATTTTACATTTTTATTATGCTTCAATAATATAGTGCTTCAAGTTAATTGCTAGGTAGGTACGTGATTATTAATATTTTTCTACCCAAATATTATTAGATACTGACTGGGAAAATTATCCAATGACTGGAACCAAGCCTGGGAAGAGCAAGAGGGACGGATAAAAAACATCTATTATAGGTACCTACCTACATACTCAAAACTTCCCCGCAAATAGGTTCAATTATTTTCAGTTGTTTTTTTTGTACGCTGTAGGTACATATTTCAATTGTATCTAACAATGTAAAGTCCCGTAAAATAAACCTAACATATGATAGCCATAATGGTGAAATAGTTCTTTTATATCAATCAATTATTCATTACTTAGACAATAGAATTATGCTCAAAGGAAAACCACGAATAAAAAGAACCACCTATAGGCAATGATGTATAAACCTATAGATACGTTGTCCGCGCTCTAAAATGACAACATGAAATGAAGGCAATTGACAACATCGCGCTTAGTTACGCACCAACCTGCCGCGCGACGCTACGTTTGTTTTTAATTTATATCGTGTGTAAACTTGTGCGAAACACAAAGAAAGCATGTCGTCGTGTGTGTTCAGACGATGTACAAATTATACTCCAAAAGTTAAAGACAAAAATGTGTCATTTCATGCGTAAGTTCACCAAACAACCTATTTTTATTTTATTTTTTTCGACGCCGGCGCCCGCCATCTTATGGCGGCCGGCGCATGAAGGTATAGTCACGTGCCGTCGGCATAACTGAAGATGTATATTTATCTCCCTCTAGCAAAGGCATTCCACTATACGATGTCATATTTTCTTTCCCTTTCTTTACTCGTAGAAGTAGTTATCTAGTATTTTCGCCGTTTTTAAGCGCCGCGATGTTGGTTCATGACGTGTCTATATATAATACGTCATTGCCTATAGGTACCTACCACGGATTACGATATGCTTCGAGGAATAGTTCGGTTTGATCCCTGCCGCATCTATTCGCTTCCGACACAAGCGAAAACATTTTCATCCCTCTCATGTAAGTAGTATAGATGATAGGGAGTCAACAACTGAGCGATTTTCGCGAAACTTTGGGTTTATGATACGGCCTTCAAAGTCAAACCTACAAGAAACGAGCGTACTTCTATCTAGATGAAATCCTGCAGCCTGTCTGTGATTCGTGATTCTTTTAGTTGCAAGAGTCATAGGCGCATTGCCTATGGGTGGCACTCACTTATCATAAGATAGATGATCAGCCAGCTCGTTTATCTTCTATTCCATTAAAAAAGGATATGTTTGTACCTATATAGGTACTATCCCTTTCTATGAAGAAGTATTTGTTAGTATCTCAGTGCCTAGTGCGTTGCGTACTAGGCACATCAAATTCAAAGCATTTCAATTTCGAGTAGGTGGTCCTATAAAAAGGTCATTTTGAAACGTTAAAGTTCAACTGTCCCGGCAGTGAAGCTACCTATGTGCTCCAAACTATAGATTAATAGGTACCTATAGAGAAGAACTAAAAAGAAAGAAAATCGTTATTAGGTAATTTAATTTTATAATAAGTCGGTCGTGTTATGATGGTACGATTGCAAGTGACTTATAGGCCTGCTGGAATTTCGGGCCTAAACGCTTTAATGTACCAAGGTCTCTAAAGCAACCAGGGCGGGAGAAATAATTTGATGATTTTCTCCCCCTTGGACAGCCATGCTTCGTGTGAATGAATGGGTGACTTGTGAGTGATACCAAGGCCTCACAGAAAGCCGGCCTGAAACAACTACAGCGTTCTGCTTCGCCGTGTGAGTGAGGTTACCGGAGACGCAATCCTCCCTCTCTCCCTATCCCTTCCCTGTGCCTTAATCTCCAAAACCATAATCCCCAAAAGGTTGATAACGTACTTTTAACTCCTCAGTTGCTGCGGGTGTGCATGGACGGTGGTCATTGCTTACCATCAGGTAATCCCCTCATTCGCCAATTCTGTCACATAAAAAACTATGGCTATATTCATAAACAAATTGTCGTTCATTTTGAATAAAAAAAAATATAAAAATTAAATAACTATATATATTATATTAAAGAAAAATGTATCATAATATTATCCACTTTGATATGCACCACAGATAAAACAATTTTAAACTTTGCGCGCCAAAATGCTCAAGCACAAAAGTAAATAAATAAAACTTCAAAAAGGTTCAATACAATGGTCCATATATTTTCATAAAGAATAAAATCACAATGCATTAGTTTATATTTTACATAATATAACAGACACGGAGTATTAAACGGTTATATATTTCATTATAATTTGTGTAATGTAGGTATTTTTTATCCACAATAATAATAAATACGGATCAAATGTGCTATTCTTTATCATCTAAACAGACAAAATACTGTGAACAATTCAACATCAATGGTGGTAAAATTGAGAAAACTAGATAAGTATTTTTACTTATTTTATTTTTTTATTGATGGATTTTATGTCAATTATATGTTTAAAAATTTGATGACTAATAGATTCTTTGAGATTTAGTGCACATAAATTAAATGTGCTTCATAAACTATTTAATATTTTTTCAAAACGTTTATTTAACATAAATTTCCATTTTCATAATATCATTATTTGGTTTAACTTTGTAATAAAATACATTATGGAATGACTGATTCTAATTTATTATGCTTCCATTCTGTTATTTTTTACCAATCTATGAATAAGTAACTTAATTCTCGAATATTCCATTTAATTTCTCTGTAACTGGAATTCCAGAATGGAAATTTTCAAAAATGGAATGAATGTGCATTTTATCAGAAACTAATTGTATGATAAATTACTCTATTTTATTTTATTTTATTTTTAGAATTGGTATTATGTGAGATTAACACGTAACTGGCCTTTATTTACAATGTTTTTGATGATGTGATGCTTAAAGTGGAAATAACCTAGTACACCAAACTTTCGCTCACCAAGAAAAAAACTTCACTATTTGAGTCGTGAGCCAAAGTATATTTGAATGTAAGGAAAATTCTAGAAACTGAATGTTGAATTTAATTTAATTATAAATCTTAGGTACTGAGCACTTAACGATGTGCCTGTACAATGTAATTACGTGAGAGATTTACATTCTGACGAAATTGGAACCTGTAGACTCTCTCGCTTGCACAAATTAGGACTTCAATAAACCAAGTAGGTTTACTTATCCTAAATATTTACTTCAGAAGAAAATAACAAACCGTTTCTCGAATTGACATCACACTCCAAAAAATGGAATATAATTAACTGCACCAACAATTTGTGAAATCATAGGTAACTAACAACTCTATAATATTGAGATTACATATTAATTAATGATTAAAAATATCATTAAATCTATTTTAAAAGTGATTTAATATCTTCATTTTGCGATATTTGGCTTCAAATCAATTTTCCATAATGGAAAATATTTTTACAAGGCTATGTTAGGGTGTGTTTCTTATAATGCTCTGTAGTTTAAGTTTGGATTGACAGTAAAAAAGGAAACCCTATTCTACATCTTAATATTAGTCATCTTACAAATACCAATACTGAATGACATATAAGGAAGATGTTGGGTAGGGCTTGCATGTGGCAGTGGCACGCAACAATATTTATTTGCCCGATCTCTAAAAAAAAATATTTTAGATAATAATAATGCTACGAACCTCTAGCATTATATGAAACACATCTTAACATAGGAATTACGCTAAAAACATTTAAAATTGTGATGGTCATTTTACTATCAAAGCTAACAATGCAACTATGTACAATCAGACTTTTTACAATACACATACAACAATATTATTCATTATAACACACATCTTGATACATATCAACGTTCAAAAATTACATAAATTTATGAATATATAATTAATTATGTATATATGAATAATTAATGTCCCTAAATATAATTTAATACTATGTTCCTGAACACAGGACAGGTACAGTTAAAATGTGTTTTATATTTGATTATTATTTTTATTTTTATTTATTTAGGTATTTATTTAATATGACTAGTGATATGTAACGATAACTTTACATAGGGTATGGTAAAACAGAATAATTTTATTTTCAAACATCATTTCAAGATATTTCTTGACAACTATAATAATTATTCGATAACTATAATTTTAAAAAATGTTGAGTTTTATGACATTTGAAATTTATTATTATTATATACAATGCACCATGGGGTAAACCTACTTTAAAATCTAAGTTCTCAAATAAATCAGGCTTTTTGGTAGTTCCTTTTTCGGGACAAGGATTTAGAATAATGTGTAACATAGAGGTAGGTAGAGAATATCAAACAAAACCTAACAAATTCTAATTTATTATGCAGTAAATTTACTTATACCAGAAATTATTATGATGCCATTCAAATATTTACAATTTATATTGTGAAAACTATTTTTACATTCATTAGACCTATAAGACCATATCAGATCCAATTTTTATTGCCTATACCTAATTATAATTTTGGTCACATAATTGTTAACATCCACAAGAAAATATATACCAGTATATCTACATAGGTAATATTAATTTGAATATCCTTTATAATATCTACTTGCTACAAATATAATTATTATAATGAGAGATTTGTGTCTATCTAATTTATTGAATTATAGAAAGAACAGTATCGTTCTATTCTGAATTTTATAGCTTGAAAGATTGTAATAATATAAGAAATCTTCTATTAATACAGAACTTGAATGTATCTCTCAATAAAAGATAATAATATCTACATAAATATATTAATATCCCATTTAATTTATCAATTGAAATGTTACAAGGAGTAAAGGTACATCCGTACCCAATCCAATTTTGGGCGAATAGCCATTTTATTCCATTATAGATAAGATTCCATTTTGAACCTATTTACAATGACGTCTTAAACGCCAACTTAAGTCGGTTCCAAATTTCGGTGCCGACTTAAGTGGAATGCTTGGATCATACATTCGACTCGGGACCTTCGGTATTGTGTTTGAAGGAAGCTCGGATTCTAGCCAGGTATAGAGCGCAGATGTGGCCGTAGCATTTGTTGTACCATTCTGGCGTTCGACCCCTGAAAAAATAAACATTAATATAAAATAAATGTCAACAGTTTATTGAGTACCATTGCTCGAGTTCAGTATTTCCTTAAAAAAGGGGGGATTGGAGTTTACATACTCTCAATTACTGATGAGTTGTAGGTATTATGTCGGACGAGGAGTCTTAATATATATATAATTTAGAGCAGACGGATTACCTGATGGTAAGCAATTAGCGCCGCTTATGGACACTCGCATTACCAAGGGAGTAACTACGAGTGCGTTGCTGGCCTTTCGCGGAGTGTTAGGGATTTACGAATAGGGGATTTGAAGACAGAGGATTGTGGGGAAAGGAGAGATTGGGTCTTATACTTAAAATGATTATACTTTTTGACACTAGCGTGATTATTGCTAAGCCACGAGTTCATCGAATAACCAGACTATTGAACCTACAATCAATTTATTATCTTTATTGAAATAACTTAAACGTGAAGTATATACAAGATATTCTTACATGGTATCAACTCTGGCTAGATGGACTAGTCTGCTGCGTCCCTTGCCGGCGGGTTGTGCGAGGTACCGCGAGGCGAGCACGACTCCTCGTGACACAGAAGGGGAACCTCCCGGTCCACGTGCAGTACTCGGTGGGGCTGATGCATGTGCTACTGATGTCTCGGCTACTGCACACCAACCACCGCCACCGCCACCCTGCTGCCATGATCTGAAAGAAAGTATTAAAATACGTGTGCCATTTTTATAACGAAAACATTTTTTAATAATTAAAAAAAAAACAGAATAAATATGGCAGTTTTCAACTAGTCAAATTCAATACTTTTATCCAAATGTCGACAGTGATACACTGCTATGCTATGCAATTTTATATGAAATCGCAAGTTGTTATGTCATAGTATTTTTGCGTCATGCTTATAAAGTGAAAATATAAAAATTAAGTTTTTAGACGGATCAATGAATGAAAGTATAGTTATTTTTCAAAATTTTATTGTAATGACACTACCAAAATCTGTTTCAAAATAAAATCGACAGACTTAGAAGTATTGTGTTAAGCAATTAAAAATAATGATATTTAGTTAAAAACTTACCGTAATACACAATAATCTCGTGAAGGTAGATTTATGCTTGAGGCCGTGACGTACTGGAACACTTCAGCGTTAGTGCCAAGCTTTTCAGCGACGCGCCATTTTACCAATGAATCGTCCCAAATATGCCGCTCTCGAAGTATCCTAGAACGCAAATAATTAATCAAATATTGTCAATTTATTTCCCTTAACACAATCTTAATACAAAGGCGGACTTAATGCCTAAATGCAACCAAAAGGGTGATGCAGAGAAGTGTTAACTATAGGTTCTAAACAAGCACGCATATTATTAACTATCTCGCGCGGTTTCAGCCGCTGCTCGCCTCCATTTGATCGTAGCGTGATATTTTATAGCCTATAGCACTCAGGAACATTGTAGCTATTTATCAGTGAAAGAATTTTGGCAATCCGACCAGTGGTTCCAAAGATTGCCCCCTATACATACAAACTTACAACTTACAAATTTTACCTTTTTATAATTTTAGAATAGAAGTATAGAGAAACATAGGTACACAAGTATATATGTAACATACACGTATAACACAAAAACATATCCTACAAATACATATATTATAAATAATAAATAATACTATTTTACCTTAAGAAGAATAGACTATGAATATATACAAGAATCAACAATTTAGAAGGATGCAATGCATCCAGAAAAGTTACGAATGGTATTTTCTTACCTCTGCATAACCTCCTGTGGTGGCGCTTCTACATCTGTAGTCGCTCTCCATAACCTTAACGGATGTCCATCACCAACTTTCTTACAACACAGTTCAACGTGAGGAGCGGCCCCTGACACTGACATCCATCCACGTGTTCTGCAATTATAGGAGTCTGGGTAAGATTCAATTTTCCGAATGGAAAATAAACAAAAAGCCCGAAATTTCTAATCGAAAACCGGAACATGCGAATCATCCACAAAAAAATAGAAAACGTTGCAAATTATTTTTGTGTTATTAGGTAGGTAGTAAAATTCATTCGACAGACACGATTGTCTTTCTCATAACAAGGTAGGCAGTTGCAATCCGTTTTGCGTTTTATGACAAACACAAATTAGTAGATATACCAGCCAATTCGCTTTTAATTGTTTAGTAGGTTCAGCCATGATGTTTATAATTCATCACGTTTTTTAAACTATAACTTAGTCATATTAATTCAATCACATTATTCAAAGCTCTCTTCTAAAAACGCAGTCTAAAACAAATCCACCTATTAATAAAACAAGCAACATTTAGATTGAAAAAATAACGAATACGCTACGTATAAACACCTAGGTGACCATGATAGGACTACGAATGTCGGTGATATGATACTCAGTGTTTTAAACGACATATTTTATGTAAAATATCTGTTCTTTATTCATATTGACCGTCGAAATAAGAAAATATTTCCAATAAATAAGAGTTATGACCACGAAATATACAATAAGTAAAATTGTATCTAAGCTCTGGATCCTCATTAAGAGTGAACTAGTTACTTACAGTTTAAAAGGTAGGTATAGGCACTTAGTAGTATATCGGGAAAATGAATGCATGAGAAATGACCACATGCTTGCATCACTCCTGACGCGTTATATCACTAATCAAGGAAAGCGGATTAATTTCCACGGTGACTTTCCCAATCCCAATGTTAGTCATTCGATCAGAAATAAGGAAAATATAGAAGTAGGTACGTGTTTATTACCAATTTGTAATGATCAATTAAGTATTTAAATATTGCTTTAGAAAACAAAACGGTTCATATTTTTTAATTTACCGACTTCAAAAAAGGAGGATGTTCTCAATTCGACGCGTATTTCTTTTTTTATTTATGTACACCTTTACTCCAAGACGCCTGGACTGATTTGCAATTTTTTTTTTATTTGATAGGTTATTCTTTTCAATAAAGAACAGTTATTTTAGTCAATGGTATGGTGGATTTACGCTCTAACACCGATATCTCACCTCTTTCCTGATCGGCCACAGACTCTAAAAAAGCATGAAAAAAGTTAGACTATAAGAGAAGTTTACATAAAGAAATTTCGAAGAGAATTATGATTTCAAAGTCTACTACAACTTCAAGGATTTAGGAAATTATATCTTATTCAAAATATAATTGAACTTACTTTTCTTTGGCTTCTTTAAGTAAAGCTTTTATGCAGGCTTGTTGGAAACCTTTCCAGTCTTGGTTGAAATCTGCGCCCAATTCTTCTAGAGCAACCTGGAAACAGAATGGAATTTTCACAATAGTTCCAGAAGCTATTCTATAGCAAAAATATTATTGAGAAAGCAAATGTCAAGGTTTGATGTCATTCATAATATTGACTAATTGAAGGAAATAAGCAAGAAGTATTACGCAATAGATGATATTATGGGAAATTTTATGAAAGGTATAGTTTTATGAAAACGACTTCCATCTCTTATATAACGAATGGCATTGTATTTTTACCACAACATAAAGAAATACGTAGTAGTACTTATTATATAATAATTACTATCGCCATATGGGTGTTAGGTAACAGTATAAAAAGATAGTCAATTTTATCTTACGTTCCAGTAGTTATTGATGTTCGTCACATAAAAATAAGTATGGCACATAGTTTTGCCAAATTAATTTTTAAGTGATTGTTAATTGACTATGAAGGAAAGAAGTGGCAAAAAGTTTCTAAGTTTTTTCAGATAGAGTTTTTTTTTTTGTGAGGGGAAAATCATCAAATGACTTCTCCCGCCCAGGGTCGGGCGGGAGGGAGTGTCAGACTCTTACTGACTAAAAACCCCCCTGTTCCTACTCCTGCTCTAGGCGGAGGTCGCGGTGCCTCATTGCGCTTACCCCGCAACCCCGGCTGAGACAGAGTGGATTATAGATTTCACCAATACAAGTAGGTATTATTCAATTTTAAGACCATAAAAACATCCGATTTTTTTCTTCACCGTATGTCAGTGGGGTCTAAATGTTCCTAGAAAAAGTCTTTGGTACTTGCTAGGTTATGCACCCACGCCCTCATGCATGAGAAGCGGGCACCTTAACCTCCACGCCAAAACGACATTTACTATTATTAGTAAATAATAATAACTTACCGGAACACTCTCTTCGAAGTAGTTGAACTTGCACCTGGCCAGCATGTCAGCCGGTGCTAGGAACAGCTGTTGGTGTTTCTGGATGAGGAGTAGGAGACACGCATGTGCTGCTCGACTCTCGCTGATCTGACGTTGATCTGCTACGCTCTCGATTACCATTCTGGAAATGGAATTTTATATTTAGTAATATGTTAATAGTTGCCGTTCAGTTACCGCAAGACTTCTTTATCTGCAGGTGTCGTAAAAGCCGTTTAAGGGACTAACGGAACATTCAAGAGATACAGAAAAGCAGCGCTATTTCAATTTTTTTCTATAGTGTAAAACAAAGTCGCTTTCCCTCGCTTTAAGCCCTATGAACGCTTAAATGTTTAAAACTACGCAACTACGGATCTTTGTGCGGTTTTTTTTGTGGATGTTTTAAGAGTGTGTGTATAATAACATCCAATAAATAGTGGAGAAATTTAGTATCAGTAATTGTTCTCGTGGGAAGCCGTCACGGTAGCTAGTTCTATCATTTCAAACTCCTATTATGTAGGGGCGCCCCATAGGAAAGATAGTTCGCAAGTTTTCGCATTCGTATCAAAGGACCACGTTATAATTTTGGTCTTTTTATTCATCATTTTGTAAGGGGCTGTCAAAGAAATAATTAATTTTACAAACCTGTTAGAATTTCCTTCCTTGGTGCTACCAGTTTGTGGTGGCGCATGATGCAGCCTCAACAACGTAGGGGCTAAGCAGACAGCCAGGTTTGATGCTGTCATCTGATTTACTGCTGAATGTTCTGCTACCTGCAAATTTAATGTTTTAAATGTTCATTAACAGACATCAATAAACCAATGAATACCTAAAATTTGCAAAAATGTTGATTGTTTCATACCTAATTATTATAAAATGGGTCACCAGTATGTCATAGATATAAATTGATTTAAATAAGAATATCAAATATTTTTTGACAAATTCACTCTTTTTATCCTTAAATATTTATTAAAATCTTGTTGTTTATTTTTCCATTGAGACATCAAATTAATGGCAGTTGTATTTTAATAAATCAAAAAACTTACCTCTGCTAAAAATATCAACAATGAATGCAACGCCTCTAAATGTTCTTCTGGCAACAGAAGTAGTGCACATTGCACTGCATCCGGTCTTAATGGCTCAGGAACATCTGTAATTAATAAAGCTACATTGAAATCTATCTTTATGGAAAAACTAATTTTAAAATAATACATGAACAAGCATGGCAAAGTGGCATTAGCAAAATCACACAAAAATATATTATCATAACAGACCAAAACATATCATAAAGGTATCTAATCTTTGACAAATTTTTGTCCAAAAAAAAGCGATGTAACATTGTCTAGGACCGATTATTCAATGTAAACTTAAATATTTATAGCTTACTAATGAGTTTCCAGGAAATAATAGATTGCAAAAGTTTCTGATATTAACGACAATTTGTTACTAAATATTGTCAAAGGAACTGCTTCATTGAATGCGGCTAGGATCATTGGAAACATTATTGATATTGTAATTTGTTAAGTGACTTATTTACTCTGGTGGTAACAGGATTTTATCAGAATAATATTTATCAACAAATATTTCGCTGTTGGTCAAGTGTTCACTGCTGGGCCAGAGTCTTCCTTAGTTTATTTTTGTATTTTTAGAATACACTTTATTCAGTGACTTTACAAATTAATCACAAGTTGTTTGAATTTTGGTTCAGAAATTGAAGGTGTATAAATAGTCTGCAAACTAGATGGCTCTTAAATCTTGAGAACTTGAGTTGAGAGACCATTAAATATTTCTTAAAAAGATGTGTTAAAAAATATGGTCTAGGAAAAAAAACGAGAGGATCATAATTAATGTAGTCTGAGTGAGAAATAGATAGAGAGAGGGAAAGGGTTGTATTCGGTATTGACCTGAAACCTATAAAATAGTCTAATATTAGAAAACAAACAAACTTACGTTGGAATATAGCAATGAACGTCTCACTCAGTTTATTTGTGAGTAACGCGTCAGGTAGCTCCCTAAAGTATTGTTTCACCATATCAGCGACATCGTGTGCTTGAGCCCCATCAAAATTCAGACTAGATTGGTTTGGGTCTATAGTGTTTATATTTTCTATAGCAAAGCTCGCATTTGATGCACCAGCTGCCTCTACGGTCGTCCGCAGTTTTGCAATCCTTGATTTCACTCCTGCCTTTCGGAATATACCCATCTGAAAATATAAAAAAGTTGATCAGTTATCGATAAATTATAGCAAAATTATAATAGTTCCTCTAAGCAGATAAATCAGGCTGCCTACTTGTACCTACTTTTCGACAGTATTCTCGAACAAAAAAGCAATTCAGACATTCCAGTTGTTTCATTTCATCTTTCATCAAATGCCAAATCAAATCAATCAAATACTACATCGAATCATAATTTGTGCATATAGTTACAGTTGTGACTCTGATTACATAACTTAAAATAATAAAACAACTGTCGAAACAATGTATGAATAAAAAAAATCAATTAATATGGAAGTACCTAGGTAAAGATATCAATTACTTACCTGATCTAAAGCATTGTTTTTCAGCCAATTCAAAGCGCATTGTATCGGCTTTGGCAACGCGTGCCCCGTCCTTTGGAGTGACACCGTTAGAGGTACTCCAAATACTGTTTTATCTGTAAATAAAAAAATAAATTTCGTGAATACATTGGCTGTAAAAAAACAGCTGTTTGACGATTATTTCAAACTGATGGGGGATAATGAAGACTGTTGATGATAAGTAAAGTGTGAAATAAAATATTATAAAAAATTCTCATCATTCTCTCAGTGGGGGTTGCACCCAAGCGAAATCATGTACTGCAGCCCCAGCTTGGAGCGGAAGAAGGAGTGAGATGGTTTTTAGGCAGTAGGTACGTAAGTAATCAGTAATAGTCTGAAACTGAATCCACACCAACCCAAGGTTCCCTCCCTGGAAGACATTCGATGATATTCCCATCTCAAAAATAACATTTCTGACTGCTGTATCTTCGTAACCATTCCGTTATCAAAATATTGCTAAGGACCATTAAATACCTCTGAGTAAGGCGGTAACACTGGCGTTAAAAATTTACTTAAATCCTAACCAACTTCGTTTAATAAAGAACAACAAAATGCAATTGCCTTTTCCATTTATAAAAGATATTACTACAATTCACTGAATAGAATATATAATTCCACATTTACCCTAAAATATCATTCTACAAATGGACAAACTTGGGTGGTTGACATTTCAAATATGAATAAACTTAATACATCTCTATTCAAATAACGAGCAATGTAAAAACCTCTTGCTCTCCACAAATGAAAATGAAGCTTTTAACATTAGGGTTACAGTTCGATTTGGAATGGAAAGATCTCTGAGTAAGGATAATAAAGGGCTTCCATGATTTCGGGGCTTTAAATGTCATATTGTAACATATTGGTTTTATTTGCTTTCCTTTTGTGGGAAAATTTATTTTTTCCTGTTGGCAAACAAATATGCTAGAATTACGACAAAAATGATTTGTTACAGCAGCAGTGCAGTTAAAATGTTTTGGTCCTTTTTATTATATTAGAAAATTTAATGATGTGACTTATGTTTTGGTGTCATTTGTATTAGTAATTGGTGGAGGCGTATAATCAGCAATTCTGTTCTGCTGATGATGATAATTATAATGATGGTATAAAAGGAGTATCTAAATAGATACTTCATATCAAATGATACGTTAATATTCTTGGTAACCTCTTTTAGACATTTCATTTATATGTATAGAAAAAAAATACCTTTATAATCAGGAGTCTTGATCTTTCTAATCAGTTTGGGTAGCTCCCAATTCCAGCCAGACTTGTGTGAGGGGCAGTACCGTTCCATGCAGGCTGTCAGGCGAAGGAGTGCCAGCTTCCTCAGGATATGGAGTTGTCCACACGAGAGCGAGGACATCGGTCGAGATACTGAAATCGAATAACAAAATAGTTATAAATCTATGATACTTTTTATGCTATTAAGTAGGAGCTAATTTTTATACTAATATTGATAGCAACAGAGCTTAGAGACCCCTTGATGGAAAGCAGATGATGTAAGCTAAGTTACTCTTCCAATACCAACTCCCGAAATAATAAAATTACTACGTCATCTTTTTTTTCCTTTCTTACTATAATTTTTCAATACATACAATAATAAGACCAATAGTACATTATAACAGAAGAAGAGATTTGAAATATTTTAATTGATAGAATAGGCGTCACTTACGGTACGAATCCGGGTCCTTTTGGTTAGGGGTTGGTGTCAAAGTGTTATTAGCTTTAGGTCCTCCGTTGAGAGCATTCGTCCTGAATGAATACCATCGCTGAATATTGTTTCTGTAAGCAAAATTAAACAAACTTGTCGAATCCTTTGTTTTTAGTTTTTTTAATAGGCAATATTATTTGTAATGTTAACAACCATTTGCGCGATCATATTGGCTATACATGGCCATAGGTTGTATCCACATTATAGAGAACAGTGTACAATGTTACTGGCCACTGTAAACCAGTAGCACATTACAGAAAAAATATTATCAGTTTAGATGCACTCTATATAGGTAAAGGAAGTTAAAAGTATCAATTCCTTCATTAGGCAATGTTTTAAATATAAAATTAAATGTACGTATTGCTACCACATACAAACTAGCATGTATAACCAACCATAATAGATACAATCTTTAGCCTTCATCAAAAGACTACTCCCAGAACCTATAGCAATATTTCAAGAACTACAAGTTAAGCAGACTTACTTCTTGCTCTTAATATCTAGACTGTCATCGTCATCATCCTGGTCTCCATCATGAGACCTGGATCCCGCAGAGTTGGGGCTGCTATCCAGCTCAGAACTTCTGGATGCCGATTTATCCCTCTTCAGACTTCTATCACGAAACCTAGAAAAGAAAGAGTACTTATGTAAATATATTAATATATAAGATTGTGCAATTGGACAGGTCTTCGTTCAGAAGTGGACAGAAGCTGTCTGATGGTAATAATAGTTATGAAGATAATGATGATGTTTGAATAGCAGATTAGAAAAATGGAAGTACTAGGTACTTTTAAATGTTGATATAATACAAAATTGTGACACGAAAAAATGTGGAGAACAAACACAGTATCCTATGTATTTTCTCTTTACACGCACACACAAAGAGTTCAACGGGACACACTAAAATTATTGTTGTAAAAAATATGTAGTACGGCCTTTTACCTGGGCTCTTTAATATACTCGTACTCAGTTATAGTAAAGTAAAAAACATCACAGAAATAAAAACAATTCATATTTTGTAATTAACAACACCAACATATATAGATAAAACTGTTTCCAAACCAATAAAAACAACATAATTATTAGTAAACATATCTTCACAAATACAGACCAACAGTTTGGTTTTTTTTGACACTGACTAACACAATTTGGTCCTAATACCCGCACTTAATCGAAAAACTTGGTCCTTTCATCCGCGTAGGAACATTTTAAAATAATCTTACCGCACTTTCTTCTACAAAATTTTGTGTAATACTGCGTCGTCTAGGACAATTAGCATGCCAATAATTTGTTTAACCATTGTCCATTACTTTGACAATCGTTTTAGACTAATAGCACTGGTTGGACTAATTACTTCTGACGCGGTAATGTCACTTTCAAATATAGCGGATAGTTGTCTGGGATTCTTTTTTTTTCTAATTTTACTGTTACTGGACTTGACTCAATGGAGACCTACCTACGTGTGGTTTAGTTTCATGTAGAATAATGTCAATATTATTCGTGTTTTTGAAAATATTAATTTCTATGCACGTTGCTTATCAAAACGTGAAAATTTATAGTTCTAAGTAACGAATAATTTGAAGCAAAACTAATATAATATTATGCTAAACCTACAAAGACCGTTATTGAATTTTCCTATCAACCTCAATGTAATTAAATACTCACTTCAAAGAAGAAAGTTACGCCTAAGATCTTTAGAACAAATTGTATAATATTCGTTACTGAACATGTTCTAACTAAATATATACAAGACTTGAGCAATTACAATTGAATCCAGTTTTCCTATTAAAATTTCTGAATGTGACCTACAATTGTAATTAAGGAATTTATTTCGGTGAAAAATTGCAAAGGACCAGGGTCAGGACCACGTATCTGAGTATATTATGTCAATTGATGAATTTTCTGGGTACAACCAGGGTGTCTTCAAGTTCCAAGTGATCAAGTTACTTATGGACTGGCGTACTAAAACATCGCTTTCCACCAAGCTACTTGATGATCTATTAATACTTACTTTTTGCCATCACTCCCTAAATTGAGCGAGCTGGTCCTTATAGCCTGCCGTCGGTGATGAGTGTGACCTGGTGATTTCTGAACTTCTCTGAGTATTTCAGGGTCTGGTTTCAGTTCCACTGGTGAAGGAGGCTCCACGTAGACCTTGAAAAAAGTTAAATATTATTATTATATACTTCGCAAAGAAAAACGCCTGTTAAAAAATTATAGCTTGCAAGTTAAAAACAAGTTGCTATAAAGTTTTCAACAGGCGCTCTTTTAGTAATACCTATTCATTGAATATTTTTATGAGATGGTAAGAAAGTTTTATTTTCCAAAGTTTTGTTCGTTATTTACCGGGTAAGGCGGATATATTATAAACCGGGCACTACCTCCGTTCTTGACATAACAATACACTGAATATTGTTAGCAAACTTATATTGTTGTTACATCAAGTTGCAAACTATCCACGGTAGTTAGAAGCACAAACTTGTGATAGAAGTAGTTAGGGATAATCTTCAAGTCTTACAACAAAATATAATAAAAAGGTCTTAATATTCTGGTATTATCACGTTTAATTTTATGGATTCGTATCGGATTTCAGGACATTCGAACCTTCTAGAAGCTTATTAGGTAGTAGAAGACTTTAAAGTTTCTTGTGAATAGTTCTATTTTTAGTCGGATTTGGAAATTTAAGATATAACGAGGCTTTTATCACCTTTCGTATTACCAAGAATTCGAATATTATTTACCAAGATAATTTATCCTGATTGAAATTCAGATAAGCGAGCTCAATGACCAAATGTTCAAACTTTCAGTCGTATTAAAAATTATTCTAACTTTATGATTAAGTACCAACGTATTTATTTTAAGAAAATTTATTTATTGTATCGACTTTTAATTATTCATGTTATGATTATAAACAGTCTAACTACCTTACTTCGTGAAAAACATCATTTTCCTAAGTACTTTTCGCGTTAATAAACGCTTAAATATATGTTTTAACGTGAAACGCAAAAGTTTTAAAGTTAGGTAGTATTAATTTTTCTATTTTCTTACCTCAGTATTCTGATGAGTATTATGGTCCTTATAATAATTATGTCTCCAACTGGCTGGTTGGCATTCAGAATCACTAAGCGCACTAGAATCATCATTCTTAATCCCTCTATGGAAGATTCTCTTGGCCCTTCCTAGTTTGGACTTAGAACTCTTATTACTGGACCCCATACTTCCATCTGATGCGTAACTGGAACTGTCATCACCAAACGGGGCATTTAGGACAAAGGATTGTTCTAAAGGAGCGATTGGGGAAGGTGGCATGACTGTCATGGGTGACGGTGGTTGGGTTCTGATGGCAGGAGCGTGTACAGGGGAACTATGGAAATCAGGGAAAGGAAAGGCCGTTGGTGTTGTAGGAGTCATGTCAATATAGCTCAGATCAGCATATTTGTCTTGTTGCACGTCCAGGAAGTGGGGAGAAGATACGATCACTTCTGTTCGGTTCTGCCGTTTTCTTCTTCTCGTTTTGAGGGATTCTACTCTTCTGAGTAACGCTTTGGCACCGTCTCTTAGTCTCTCGGAGCCAGTTCTTCGGAAGCGAGTACCGGTTTCCTCTTCATCCTCTTTGTCACTTGGTAACTGTATCATTGTTTGGCCTGGTACTGTTAGTCTGTAACAACAAACAATCATTTTGTAAGATATGTATGAACTGAATGGTTTCCGGGATCAGTGTTCTTGTTCAGTGTTCAAAATTAAAACTTCAAAGTATCTGCCAAATTTAAAAGCTGATTTATTTTAAAGGAATATGCAACAAAAGTTCAGAATAATTGATAACGTATACATTTTTGCGGAAATTAATTCATCTTATAAGAAGACCTGTAGCATTAGCGCAAAGCAACACAAACACAAACTACTATAACTAGGTATAATCCCTAAAACAAGAATATCAGAGAGTACAAAACGCCAACAACCCCAAACTCATCTCCATAAACCATCAGAAGGTCTATCATGGTCTCAAAGTAACTCACAAAGTGCAAACTTTGAAGGTCGCTGACAAAGTGAGAAGTTGCCACGAACTCGTCAAACTTGGCGATAGAAAACAATTTATGGGTATTACAAGGGAAAATTTTGGCGCATAGTAATTAATTTGAGGTGTGGTTTCTCGTAAAATTATTTTGTATTTTAATGTTCTAAGGAGTAGGTGAAGGCACGAACACCTTCCACATATAACCAGAATGTATAAAATAATACATACGCGCGATTCTTTTCCTATTGGATCTCATAGACCGCCTGATACCTGGCACACAATTGAACTTATTTAATTAATTACTTCTACAAACCTGTATGAGGCGAGAGGGGTATTAAGGAACGTGGCGTTACTTTTAGAATTTCTATTTAAGATTTATAATACTGACTTAAATTATATGCAGCATTAGTCCTTTGCACCAAAAAAAGTTTAAATGACATTCAAACAATTATCCCGAACTCAAATTAAACAAAATTTTCACTAACTTATATGCAATAATAACATTTTAATATTATTCAAAAATTGGTTCGCTCGACTCAAAGTTACATGGCCTTACGAACTATATAATAGCTTCAATAAAAGTTTATGTAAAATTAGACCCCAATTTCGAAGTCAAAATGAATTTGGCAACTTTTCTAATTTGATTCAATTTGTTTTAATTCCATTTCAGATGTGAATATAACATTTCGCTTGAATTCTACGAAGGGATAGGCTGGAAAATACATGATCATCAGCCCATATATATGTAGGTACCCGAGCGTACGGCGCGTAGCGTTACGCGCGCGCCTTATAGAGTCAATAGACCACCACAGACGGGGCCCTATAGGGCTGGTGTTCAGCCGGGGTTGCGGGGTAAGCGCAATAAGGCACCGCGACCTCGGCCCAGAGCAGGAGAAGGAACAGGGAGGAATACTACCTCCCGCCCGGCCCTGGGAGTATAAAACACTAGTTTTTTTCCTTCACCGTATGTCAGTGGTGTCTAAATAATCTTAGAAAGTAAATACAACTCGGAAAAACCAGAAAACTCTTGTATGAGAACAACTTTAAGTAAAAAGTAAGCACCTAATCTAAGTTAATAAAATAATTTCATTTTAAAACTTGGATCGTTTCTATTCAACTACTAATGTCAGCATTCGTCACGTCAAAGAAAAACGAAGTTCTGTGATGTGAATGATAGCTTCAAGACTTCTTGAAGACTAGAAAACTTTTTAATATGAAGTATTTATACTTACTTACAAATCTTGCAAAAGTTTCGTCTATTTTATTTAAACAAGAAGAAAAGTTCAAATTTCTTCTTCTTCTTTTTGATCTAGATTCTAATTTATGAATATTGGACACATCGCGAATTCTTTTCCAATAATAAAAAGTATAGATAATTGCCATACTCAAAGATATTTAATAATAATCTATGCTAATGTTAAGTAAGATTTGTAAGTTTGTATGTAGGGGTTAACCTCTGGAACTGCGGGTCAGATTGCCAAAATTCTTTTACTCATAGATAGCTACAATGTTCGTGAGTGCTATAGGCTATAAAACATCACGCTACGACCAAATGGAGCTGAGCAGCGGGTGAAACCGCGAGAGAGTAGCTAGTTGCTAATAAACAGATGACAAGAATAAATAACAATTATAAATACATATAGATACAGAAGAGATAGTTAGGCTATTTTGTGCATGACTTTTTAATACTGATTTTTATTATTTTTATGGCACAGGTGTCAGATCAACTGATGGTAGGCAATCTATCTTTCTTAAAACTTATTATCGAAATGATTTAAGGGTTGGTTTAAGTACATAGGTATATTATTTTCATCATTCAACTAAATTATTCCAGCTGAAAAATAGGTGACAATAATTTCTTGATGGAGTCTCAGAATGCACCTTAATTTTTTATTATTTAAGATTAAATACTAGTAATTTAATGTGTAACGTACGTAGATTACTCCGTGACCCACAAAGAGAATAATATGATAAATGACTAAAAGAGAAAAGACAGATGTTGAATATGAAAAGATGAATGAAAATTAGATTCGTACTAATAGGGATTTGTGGCGAGTAATTTGCTGCAAATGGCCGGAGTTAGGAGAGTGCCCATATTCGTGGGCGTTGTAAAAGGGGGGAATTATGAAAGGTGGGTGATTATTGATTAGGTACATTTGGTTGCAAAACTTAAAGCGTTGGTTTCGTTGTTATTAAGATAATTGGATATGAACTGGGTTTTAAGAGCAGAAATTAGTAGTTTGAAGTTGTAATTTTAATGTACCTATTGTATGAAATGGATTTATGGAATTATGGAGGAGAACACTGAAGGTACTGGCTAGATAGTCAAGCAATCGTGTATTGACGTTGACGGACGGAATATTTGAGATAAGATATTTGAGTTCTATGATGTTGCGTTGTTGGTCTTTTGCGTTAAGGCGTTAAGAAATTGGGGATTAGAACATTGCGGATAGGGAGCTGTCAAAATATGGGACGTATGGTATAATGTTATAGGTAAGTGCGCAAAATTGTTTTAAGCAACTATATTTTTTTGAAAAAAAAAATGTTGAGTGGGTGCCTACCTACCTGGTTAAATAACACTTTGCAGTTTTTCGCTGTTATTGTTTTACTACCCTACCGGCTAAAGAAATTACTTATAGTCTCTAATGATGTTACGATTGTGTTACGTAAACAGTGTTTTACTTACTTATCTCGGTGGCGGGTAATTTGATAATTAAATGTTTATTTTGTATTCTCATGTAAGTGGCTTTATTGCCTTTTTGGGAATAAATGATTTAAACTCAAAATAGCTGATTGGCTTATTAAACTTCGATTGACATACGCGGAGAAATAGGGTACGAGTTTGTTTGTGTGTCCCATATCTATGTATATTATAATTATAATTTAATTTCAAATACCGAACGAGATAAATTATAAGTGCGTACGTAACGGTACTTTCTTTTTTCAATTTCCTTTATGTTACATACTTACTTAGATTTCCATTACTATGATTAGTTTGTATTAATTACTTTCAAAGCATCATTTATCAGGTTGCTCCATTTTCACTAGATTATCACGTCAATTTCACACAGTAACAATTTATCTTACATTAAGAGGTTTCCGCTCTGAATGCGTTTCTTTTTGTAGGTTACGGGGCCCTTAATAAGAGTGCGTAAGGTTTGGGTCCTTTTGTAAGCGAGCTTAAATAAGCAGCGATCATGTGATGAACTTCTTTTTGAGAATCATACTAAAAATATTATGACTGTTTTTTGCCAAAATCTTTCTTAAGAACAGTGAAGCTAATTTTTACTTCTATAATCACTAAGAGACTAGAATAAAACATTTTGTATAGACAAGAAGCAGTTTTATGAACTAAAACCTATGTCCTTCAGTTCGACTCACAAATAAAATACTCTTCACCAATTTATTGAAACTGTAATAACCTAAACTGCTCACAAATACATATCCCATCTTCTATCGATGCCTAGAAAAGAAAAACACGTTTAAAACAACTTCCCAATCCGCTTTCCGCTACCCGCTTCCCGCTATCATACACACCTATACCGCTTCACTATTAAAGGTTTAGCAACCTAAAGTAGAAACGTGATAGGTGAAGGGACTGCACTACTAGAACAAATGGGTTGCCAGCTTAATTATATACATTGTTGCATACGGCCCGTCATTCTGACAGTCCGTTTGTTTTCGGACTATTGTGAAGTAAGTCAACAAAGTTTCGAATGCATTGCTGGCAGTGGGTGGACGACTGGCTGCTGTGCAATGTATGGTGTCAAGACAAAACAATAGGAATGATGATAAGGCGTGAAATTTAATTAATGTCTTTAAAGTTCGTCTGGAAAATACAAACAGATAGCCAGTCTAATAATTTCTAGAACAGTCTTTTAGAAACAACTTGTGTCTAGTTGACATATTATTATTCCCGGTGAGCTCAAGAGAGTCGCCTGTTTTCCTTGTAAGTGTTATTTAAAGTTTAGGAATGGAACAAAATACTTGTCCATGATCCAAGATGACAAACGTGACACAAGAGAAAATTGGTCACTCTGTGCACAATCTTATTTATCTCGGGGTTTACCTGGGTGTCGAGGCAATTTTGGTTCTCCTCCATTTTAAAAGTACGTCGTAAGAACCGAGAGAATTGATAATGTTTTCTTTTGAGGTTTTAAGTGGCGAGTCATAAAATGACTTCTCTCGCCCTAGGTGGGGCAAGAGGGAGTCTGGAAGTCTCCAACTCTTACTGACTTCAATACTAAATACAATATTTTGTTTTATTCGCAACCCTGGCTGAAATTTTAAGTGGTTAGAGTACCAATGCGACACAATTTAGGAGCCCTAAATATCTGCAGTAACCAACGAAGAAATATCTCACATTCATCTAAAAAACTTATTGCCAAAACAATTAGTCTTAACACAAAACATTGAGAAAACTCAAGTCCCTACTAATAACTTTGAACTACAATTAGTTTAACTGTCTTTGACCAGTAATTTGTTATTTTCATGTTGGGTCGTATTTAGGACTTGACGGACAGTTTGACCTTTGACCTTGATTCAAGTAACTGTTAAGTCTTTGCGATGCCGACGCGATTAGGGTACTGATAGGTACTCTGACTTACTCTGACTGTCGATCAACTTTTTAAACGTTTATCCAT